CGGTGCGCACCCGTCCCCGATCCGTCCCAACCCCCGAAAAGGCGCAGCAAAAATAAACCACCTACCGAGGTGGTTCTACCAGCGCGGCCGCATCAAGGCCGGCCGTTGGATCGCCGACGCGTCCTTCTGCCGGCGCATCCCTGGCTACTGGCTGAACTGCGCATGCTCAGACATGCACAGTTCAGCAGTCTCACATTCCCCACTGTGGCTTTCCCCGGCATCTGATCGTGCCGGGGAGGGAATGCGCCGCGACTCAGGGGATCAATGTGATCCCACCGCGGCGGGCCTATTTTGGTGTGGCTTTTAAAAGCTGCACTTTGCCCGTCCTTTTTCCCCCCGTGTGGCAGGGACCATAGAGAAGAGAGAAGTCTGATTGGTCGATAACAGGATTGGTCACTTATGCATCTCTTTTTAAATACTGGGATAATAATAGAATGTCTCTGTAAATCAGGTACTTGTCCTCTGAAGTTAATTTGAATGAGAACTGGGGCCAGAATTGTGGCCCACCATAATGGATCAGCCTTGAATAGCTCAATAGGGATTTGATCAGAGCCCAGAGCTTTTCCTAATTTTAATCCCTCGATAAGGCAGATAACCTCCATAATTGATACATCATGCCAGGATGCTGTTACATCAAGAGGAATAATAACAGATGTACTAGGCCCATTAGCATCGCAGAATAGCCTCTTGAAATAGATTCCCAACTTCAAAGGGGCAATACAGTATGGGATTTTAGAGGCTGGGTTTATAGTAGTATTGACGATAGACCACAAAGCCTTATTGTCATTATTACTGATAGCTAAAATAAGATATTCCCTATTCCTTGTTAAGGGACATCTGTCTCCTTGTCTTAATCAGTCCTCTGTACATTTTCTTCATTTCCATCAACTCTCAGAGGGCTGATATTGCACAGTTAGATTTAAATTCACGATGCTTCTGTTGAATACGCCTTTTCATTCTTTTGCAATCACCATTAAATCAGCTATTCTTCATCAGGGAATGACTATCAAGGCTCTTTTTTCATGTAAAGGGGTCTAAACAGTCTTAATACCTCATCTAGATTATGCAAACAATTTGGGACTGAATCAGACTGCAAAACCTTGTTAACAAAGGTGTTAAAAGGGATGGAGCTCATTATAGTTCAAGCCTTGTCACTAGAGTTAGAGCTCCAGTATAATCAACAGATTTTATTTTGATTTTGTGAGAGAGGGAAACTTTGTGCTGGAATAAGATAATATTCTAAGGATAAGTCTATATACATAAAGGACCTTGCCATATGGCCCCTGATTTGTACTGGTGGCCCTGTCCATCATAATGCACCTCCACGCAACGCCTCCACTGATTGCTGTGGTATGGTTGCTATAGACAGTACCCTGGTTACGAAGAGAAAACCCTGCAAACCCACCGACTTTGTCTGCTGGCCACTGCATAATTTATGCCTTTAGGGAATAGACTAGTGCTGCCATAGTCACACAGCGGCTGGCCGTCATAGCACAGGCGTGGCACAGGATTGCTCTGGAAACCAAACTGAATACACACATACCCACGTTCATTCATTTGTTTATGTTTGGTGTACTGCTTAGGAGTGAGGACTCTAATCTGGGAGAGTTGGGTTTGATCCCCCACTCCTACACACACAGCTGCTGGTCTGACCTTGGGTCAGTTACAAGTTCTTTCAGAGCTGTTCTCTCACAAGCAGTTCTCGAAAGAGCTCTCTCAGTCCCACCTACCTCACAGGTTGGGGAGGGGAAGGGGAATGAGATCGTAAGTCACTCTGAGACTCCTTCGGGTAGTGAAGGGTGGGGTATCAATCCAATCTCCTCCTCCTCCTCCTCCTCTTCTTCTTCTGTTCCATGTTTCCTATACTGAGAGAACTTGGTTGTATGTATTTTTTTACTTCATTTTCATCCTACCTATCACCCCAATGTGGACCAAAGCTGCTTCCATTATTTTCCTACTAGGGAGCAAAGCCCATTGTGGATGGAGACAGTGGGCCCCTAGACAGGTAGGGTGTCAGTATTCTATGTTAATGTTAAGTCATGCTGTAGATCTGAGGCATCTAACTGACAGGAGCTGACAGCTCTAAGTGTCATAAGAGCTGGCTCTGACTGGTTCTAGCTGGCTATTGCTAGAGCTAATTAGCACTGTGTAACAGTGACTCAGCATTGGCTCTGATTGGCCAATGGTTGTATATATTCAGTGATGTACAGAACTGTTCATTCCTACTTGGAATGCTGTTGTCTGCGAAGCATCACGTCACTCAGTATAAAGATTTGGTGGAGGCTTTGTATAATAAACTGTAAATTACTTGTACATAAGCCTGAAAGACTCCAGTCTTTATTGGATCACCTTGCACCCGTGTTTGGTCTGCAGTGGGCTAACACCGCGCAATATTGATATAGGGTGGGTGAGTGGGTGGTCTAAATCTCCTACTGGGTATGGGGATAGGGTAAAGACTAATACAAATCACGATCTGAAAAGCTCAAAGAATAGATCTTTTCGGGTGGGGGTGGGAAATCGGGCCGCGGCGTGGGGCGCATTGCCAGTGCACCCTCAGACACAGCACTCGCCTCCCGCCTCCCAGCCCATGGCAGGGCAGTAGCCTTGAGCGGCAGCTGAGCAACACGGCCAATGGAAGGTGGGGAAGTTCCTGACGGACAGCGCAAGCTTCCAAAGACTGTTTGGTGTGCATTTTCTCTCCACTGCATGAAGCTGCGTCTGAGGTGGGACGTAGGTGACATGGCCAATGGAAGCCGGGGAAGCTTTTGACGGACAGTTCAGCCTTCGAAACACTGTTGGTGTGCATTTTCTCTCCTCTGCGTGACTCTGTGTCTTATTCAATTATATATAAGGGAGAGATGTTCCATCTTCTCCTTACAACAACTGTGCAAGGTAGGTCAGGGTTACAGCATGTAGCTGGCCCAAGATCTCCAAGCAAGCTTTCATGACAGAGTGCGGATTCAAGCCTGGGTCTTCCAGATCATACCTCTGACCACTGCAACACACTGGCTCTTATCCATTACTCTTTTGTTTAAAAACAAACAGAGATTCTACCCAGTTTTGGATAGAAAGTATTTTAACTGCCTTTAAAGCTCAGAATTTCTGAGACATGTAATGGGGTTTGAGTATGCTTAGGCTATATCAGAAATTTCTTCTGTTATATGCCTGCTTAATAAAGTGGATCATAAATGCCAATATGATGCAGGATATAGGCTCGACAGATTTTAATTTCCCCCTTAGTTTTATTTCTTATTTGTTCTGTTTGTCAAATGCAGCTTTATTATAAAAAGCTCTTTAGAAACGGAAGATTTACTTTCAGGCCAAATAGCTTTTTAACCGATCTGGAGTTCTGTGTTTTAATGAACCATTACCTGGGAATGTCTCTGAGTACTGGATATTTCTTAAGCAGAAAATGTCTCCATTCTGAGCTCTGGTATTTTGCTGGGCGTTAACAGTTCAATTGTGAGCTGTGGTACAGCTTTCTAAGCTCACTGACCTCAAGGGTGTAGTTCTCTTCAGGATTCTACTGTAAGACTGGAAGTGATGTAGCCCCCATCAAAATTCTGGAAGCCTTCCTATCTCCATAGGAGAACAATTCCTTATTGAATTGGAAAATAGGAATGTTCGTGCTGCAGCTTTTATTTAGCAGCTGTGTGGTGCATTCATCCTTTTTTTGCATCGTGCCTTACTGTGGTATAAGGTCTCTGTGCCAAAACGGTGTGTTATTTGAATACTGAGGAATGCAGCACTCTGTGTGCAAATGATAGTTTAGGCTGATTGTGTCTGTTTGTACTGCCGCAGTGCTAAACATTCAGGTGGGCCACATCAGTTGTAAGGAGTAACAACAGCAGATGAGACAAGTCAAGCTTAGTTTTCTGAATCTACTTCAGAAGGGTCACCCGGTGTATGCAAACTGCACTGACAGCATTAGTTGATTCATTAATTGAGTAATGGATTCTTCCATATTAAAATATAAAGCCAGGAGGTCTGGAGGTGAAATTGGATGGGAAACCGGCAGACAAGTGAGACATCTGCTTCTCTGGATAGAATCCAGTGGGAACCCCACCCCCCCTTTCACAAATGTGGAGTCCAGTGGAAGAAGACAGGGTGGGATTAAGACGTTCTGAAGCCCCTGTGCTATGCCAAGTTTAAAAAGTCCCATAGTATTACCCACAAATATGTGCATTAGTAATTTGTGGGGAGGGCCTTCATAATCTGAGGCTGTAGCTTGCTTAGCTGGTAAGTAAATCCAGCTCTGCATAACCTGCCCCACCCATATTGTGACCCTGGGGTTCAGGGAACTCCAAAATAATCTCACTGAATTCATTGTGTGGCTCTGCAGTGGGAAAGAGAGGGTCGCCAGCTCCGGGTTGGGAAATATCTGGAGATTCTGGGGGTTTGGGCAGGGGAGGGACTTCAATGCCATAGAGTCCATCTTCCAAAGCGGCCATTTTCTCCAGGGGAACTGACCTCAGTCACCTGGAGTTCAATTGTAATCCTGGGAGATGTCCAGCAATCACCTGGAGGTTGACAACCTTAGGAAAAGAGGAACAGGCAAAAGTCGCCCCTTCTTCTGTGATGGAAGTGCCCTTGCACTAGTGGAAAAGTATCATAGGAGCCAACCTTCTGAGGCCAAAATTAACAGCTGGAATGGTCATGGCCCTTTTGGATCTGATCTGGTCCCTAACTGCAGCTTCATCTCCTGGTTGTCTGCAGTGGCAGCACTGTAAAAGAACAGGCAGGCCTCTTCCGCTAAACGAATACGGTGGTGCAGAGGGTAAGGCACGTGAGGTCCTCAGTTTGAGAACTTGGTACCTTACAGGGGTTTTTATTTAAGCTGCTAGGATGGCAGTACAGCAATACTGTCTTTCTTCTTTGTGTGCTCACTGAGACTTCAAGTATTACATTTGTAGGAACACTGGAATGCATTTAATGCTTTTCGGACTGATTTCTATATCTCTTTAACATTCGGCGTGTGTTTCCTTTTCTTCCCCTCATAGGTGGTCAATGCCGCTTTAGCTCTTGCTGCCAAGCCTAAAAGCCAGGTGGTGAAAAGCAACATGGAAATGTATAAGAACACATGGGAGAACCACATACGTGTGCTCACTGAAGCCGTGGATGACATTACAAGCATTGATGATTTTCTTGCTGTATCAGGTGTGCTGTTTTTGATTTCATTCCCCCTCCCCCCGAGATACCTTTCTCTCTTTTTTTAAATGATTATTTGAGAGATGACACAATCCCTTAGGAAGCTGCATTATATCATCCAAGCTCCAGTATCTAGCCAGGTGTGAAATTAGTGTGAGGGAAAGTGAATCTGAAGACCGAGGAATGCAATTGCTGCCAATCCCTGAAGGAGTTTGCCGAAGACAGCCGAGGCTCTCTTCCTCCCTTCACCTCACCTTCTGCTGGCGCAAAACGCCGTCTGCCTTGAAGCGTGTTACCCACCGGTAGGGCAGCCTGCAATGGAAATTAGTGCCACTGCCAGGCAGGCTTGGAGAGTCTCGCATTTTTACTCCCACTAAGAGGAACAGCTAATTAGTGGACTCGACTCACGCTTGGGTTTTAAGCAAAAATGTAATTATAATTTCTTGTGACTGAGGCGAAGGAGTGCACTGGAAAGATTATTCAGCCACAAGGAGCCTTGAACGGCAAGCGGAGCAGTACATGTCACAAGCACCTGTGCAAACCGTTCAAATAATACCAAGTACAAGCATATACAATACAAGGTTAAAAAAATGTCTCCAGTATGGAGACATTCACTCATAGCCATGCGTGTGCATCCAGTAGGATACAGGAGCAAGCTTGAGAATCAAGTACCTTTCATAATAATACTAACACTAACACTAACAATAACATGCCATCAAGTCACAGTCAAATTATGATGACCTGCTATGGGGTTTTGAAGGCAAGAGACATTCAGAGGTGATTTGCCATTGTCTTCCTCAGCATAGCAAGCTTGGACTTCCTGGGTGGTCTCCATCCAAGAGCCAGTTTGGTGTCGTGGTTAAGTGTGCGGACTCTAATCTGGGAGAACCGGGTTTGATTCCCCACTCCTCCACTTGCACCTGCTGATGTGACCTTGGGCACGCCGTCGCTCTGATAAGAGCTGTCCTTGAAAAAGAGCAGTTTCTGTCAGAGCTCTCTCAGCCCCACCTACCTCACAGGGTGTCTGTTGTGGGGAGGGGAAGGGAAAGGAGTTTGTAAGCCGCTCTGAGACACCTTTGGGTAGTGAAGGGTGGGGTATAAATCCAATCTCTTCTTCTCTTCCTCTTCTTCTTCTACTGCCCACGGCCAATGCTGCTTAGCTTCTCAGCTCTGATAAGCTCAGGCTGCTACTTACCTTTCCTGCATGAAAAGTATTAAGCGAACAGGACTTTTCAAGGGGTGCTGGATCTACTTTGGGTGGGGCATGCGTTCAAAGAGAATTTATGCATGTTGTACTGTTCCTCCAGAGCCTCTGCTCTCAGCTAGAAGTGCCATCAGCTGGATTTCTGTGGCCCTGATCAATTTTCCCCAGAGCAGCACTGAGTCTCAGCCACCAGGGCTGTGTGTGTCTGAGGGGGAAAGCCCCATCTCGGCTCCAGGAGGAAGGACTGGGCGAAGCCCTCCACTCCAGCACGGCAGTAGCCTCCCCCTCCTCAGTCTCCCGTATACATCAATA